CTATGCCAACAGTGTGGCAGGCTCACTATCCACCACCACCTCATTCCCAAGTAACCCTGGCATTTATTTGCTGGGCCTGGACCACAGTTTCCAGCTGTGACAATCTTAACCATACTCAGCTCTATTGCTGGCTTCCAAAGAAAACCATAGCTAACCCACTGCGAACCTCATCGTTTTATGAAAGCTTTGTAGAATTAGGAAGAAATGCTAGGCATGCATTATACAGACTGGTTCACTTTCAAGAGATCCCATTAGATGTTAGTACTTTCCCCAGGAAGAGCTGCCAACAGGTGATCTTCTCTATCTTTCCACCTCCTTCATCCAGCCTCTTCCTCTCCCCAGGACTTCCTTCCCTCCTTGCCCCTCTCCCATTTAATCCCCGTCTTTGCATCTGTCTTAACCCAGGTACCACAGAGCACAGCTCATCAGTATCCAAAACACAAGCTTCCTTCTGGGGGGCCTGAGTGAGAGCCACTGAAGTAGGATCACCAGTGACAGGGGAAAGTCAGAACCACAGAGGTTAGAGACAGTCCCTGAAATGGCCAGAGACCCCAGCCAGCTCAAGGGACCCTGAGCTAGTCAAGTCACGTCTCAGAACCTCTGTGCAAACGAGGATTACACTAAAAGGTCTGAGAATATTTCCAGCTTTCACATTCTACAGCTTTAGATAAGTACTGTCAAAGACTCTCTCCTTAACCAAAACTTTATTCCAGCTTCTCGGAGTTCTCCACTTCAAAAGACCCACTTTGGAGTTCCCTCCCTATCCCTGCAAAATCCAATCTGATCAAGAATCCTGCCCGGTCCCAGTATCTGACTTTGATATAATATCCTGGCCTGCATTTTGCAGCAATCCTACCAAGTTAGTTTGGCCAGAAACCCCTTATCCTTGATGCTTCCTCTTAGTAATCTCCTATCCTGATCCCCCCTACTCCTTGGTCATAAATCTCCACGTGTTCTGGCTGGCATCAGGGTTGAGTCCAAGCTTTCTCCCTCGTGCCAGAGCCCATTGCAGTGGGTAATTCATTTTCTCCTTTAATACTACCTAGACAAGACCAAAAAATCATAACTGAGGTTGCTATAATTTGGATCTTAAGTGTCTCCCAAAAGTCCATGTGGTGCAGGCTTGCTTCCCCGGGAGGCACCATGGGAAGATGGTGGAAAATCTTCCATGTAGGGGAGGTCTTTAGATCATTGGTCATGTGGCCTCAAAGGGGACTGCGGACTCTGGTCCCTTCCTCTCTTTTTTTGGTTCCGGCTAATGAGGTGAGGAATGTTGCTCTGCCATCATGTACCGAGCCATCACAGGTCCAAAAGCAATTGGGCCAACAGAACATGAAGTGAAACCTACAAAACTGTCTTTTCTTCTTATAAGTTGATCATCTCAGCTATTTTGTTAGAGTAACAGAAGACTGAATAGCACAGAGGTACAATTAACCCTCAGTTTGTCCTGACATTTTGGGTTTGAAGAACCTTTATTACTTGGTCACCACTTTTACTTTTAGACTATCACTCTGCAAAAATTATTAAGTTTGAAGAAAGCTGTGCTTCTTTTACTGGCTTTGGTCCAGTCTTTCAAGGAGTATGATCTTTTATGACTACATATGAAGGAAGTAGAGTCAGTTTCTTCATAAGGGTAGTAAGACAACCATACAGACTTTTTGTGGAAAAGGAGGCTGCTTACATATTTTTCATACCTTTTATCATTTCTCATGAGTAAACAAAAGTGTCACTAATACTCTGATCAGAGACTAACATCATACTTATCACCTTATCTTCATTTTTAGTTCTTTCAATGTCTCTACTAAAATATAAAAATAATTATCAGAAATTGGCCCAAAGGAGGGAAATTGTGACAGAACATCAACACATTCAAATCACCTTTCATATCGCTTCTCCCTGGTAAGTAAGGACCAAAGCCTGGCTTGATTTGCTTGCTTCTGTCAATTCTCTGATTCTTTGGGAAAAGATTACCTATCCCTAAGGCCATTACAGCATCTAACTAGGATAAATAGTTCTTACCCATGAAAAACACGCCTCCATCATCACACATTCCCTCTTAATTGATCTTAATAAGCCATTTTAAATGAAGGGGATGGGAAAAGCATAGTACTAACACATGGTAATTATCTGTAATTCTCCATTTGTAATGTCACTGAATAGACCAAATGATTCAAATGCTGACTAGAGCCTTTCAATGACATCAAAATTAGGGGATTCAGTACAGTAAAGTTACTTGACTACAAACCTTGTTTTCATCCCAAAGAAAATATATGCCACATATTGTTGAGAACTGAAATGAGTTGAAATTTTTACAAGGCAGTACCCATGAGAATAGGCAGTGGTTAGACACATTTGGCATTGTGTGGCAATCTGTGTGGCAGAGAATCATTTAGCTACTAATATTTAAAATGAGATTTGGTGATTCAAACTCAGTCTTAAAGTGGGAGGATGAGAAAGACGTCCCTGGGTTTTGGTTTTTTTTTTTTTTTTTTTTTTTCAATTTAAAATAACTATAATCCTAGCATTTTGGAGGTCATAGAAAATCAATCACTCTTACTTAACAGATGAGAAAAAAGAAAACACAGAGGAGGTCTCATAGCTGTTAACAATACCTGCAGACCTCAGGTGTGGTGGAGTAGGGGTGGAGGTGTGTTGTGAAAAGAACACGACTCTTTATTTTACTTATAATCTCATTTCAGTCTTGACCAGAAACAACAGTTCCCTTAATCAACAACTGATGTGTCTTCTTCTCTCTTGGCATGAATAACTAATCAGTGATCACTTCTTGGGTGATCCATGCTGAGGTTACTTTCCGTAGTAATTAAAATGTACCTAGCATAGAAAGGAGAAGTTTACCTGAGGTTTCAGCAATAATGAAATTTATTGCCATGGTTTTAAAATTCCACAAATCTTCACACCATAAATGCAAGTGATCTTGTGCCAGTATGTATGAATGTAAAGGAGTGCTTGTGTACACAGAGAATTACTACGTATTTCCTTGAAACAGTAGATGACAAGTCCTGAAGCTGTGGGCTCAGTTGCTAATAAACAGCCATCAACTGACCAAGTACAAACACAGAAAAGGACAATCTTGGGCATGGAGATGAGAAAAGACTAATTACAGATGGGACCCCCATGTTACTAGTGGAAAGTACATAGAGGGGGAAGGTGTCCACAGTAAGCAAGGTTTCCTACCTGATAGCTACATGCAGCCCTAGGTGGAGACTTCCACCCTGGCTGGGGGCAAGATGACAGACTTTTGCTTGGGCTTACTGGAAAGCTTGCACTGGGTTTGTCCCAGATTAACAACCAGCATAGGAGTCACTGCTTCTGAATTAACAAATGACAACTGAAACTAGAAAGGAGGTGACTCAAAGTCAATCACTTTTTACTTTAATTCTGTTAATAACAGTATTTCCAATCTACTATGGAAAAAATAAGCTGGAGAAGAAGTCTGAAACTATTAAACTGACTGTGATTTTCATTTTATACAATTTTTTTTTTGGAAACTGACAATTTAGAATTCCATCAAAACACATTATAAATTGATCTAAGCCAATTTAGTACCTCAGAAAAGTGCCTGGTTGTTTTGTTAATTAGAAGTAAGTGAGAGCTTATTTACTCTTATCCCCAAACTTACTCTGTATTCCAAATTCAGCTGAGGCACAAAAGCAAGCAGGCATGAAAAAGCACAATGTATCTTTTTCTTGGTAGAATTTCTCTTTTTGTTCTCAGGTACTTACATGAGCAGCACTTAAGTTCACTCATACGCACACCATTCTCATGACAGGACAAGCAAACTTCACAGTTGGAGAGTGAATCTGGGGGAACCTCAGAGCTCTCTTCATGTGTGTCAGGTGCCAAGTTTGACAGGTTCTGATTCCTTATTTTCAGAAGGGTGGTGGGCCCTTATCATTCATTTTACTAATAAAATATACCTTTCAACATTCTTAAAATACAGAAAACCTCCCCAACCATATTTAAAGTGTCTAGGCAATCAATTTTGGAGAATGCATTCCTAATAATGATATATCAGCCAAACATATTTTGGGAGTCACAGTCAATTTACAGAGCCGTACGGACACAGTACATGTTTCAGGATTCTCAGAGACCTCTGCCATACAATCTGATTGTTCCTATATAGAAAATCTTCAATATTTAAACCCAATTAGTTACTGCTATTTTTTCCAGCCACATTTTATAAATTCAAATCCTTGGGAGCTACTAAGCAACTAAAACTTATCAAAATTTTGACAATTCAGTTTTCCCCATCATTCTCCTCCCTCCGTATTAGATAAGTGCCCATTAAACCAACTGCAAATCGTGTTGCTACTGTTTATATTTTTTTAGGACATCATAGTCAACATCTAAGACTTATTTCTAAGTTCTTCATCAAAAATGAACACGTATCTTCTTATGTTACCACTTGTGGGTATGTATGCTATATTCACATTTCACTCCATTTTGATTCAACAAAGTAAAATTATGTTAGCCATGTTAAAATTATGACTCAAAATAAGACTTTAAAAAGAATTACATATTTACCACAGCAAATCCTTTTGATAATAGTTGGAAAAGGGCTTATTTGCTTGTTTTTGAGACTAGTCTTGCTATGTAGCCCAGTCTCTCTAGAACTCACTTTGTAACCTCAAATTCCTCATCCTTCTGTCTTAGCCTCTTGATCTAAGAGGTGTGAACTACCGTACCCGGCTTGGAGAAGTATGCACTGTGCTTTACCTCATTATAGTCAACCCTAACCACAACCTCACATTCTCACTTTACGGATGAGAGCAGTTAACGAGGTTGGCCAAAATTACAACAGGATAGGGCATCCAGCACAAAGTCAGGTCTGCCTGACTCCAAATCCTACACTTGCTCCTTTTTTTTTTTTTTTTTTTTTTTTTAGAACACACTCACATCCTCAAACAAATTAAACTGTTAAATTATACAACTCAAACGAACAAAAATCATACGAACATGCCACATATCCTATTTCATACCTTTAATCCTCTGAAGCTTCCTGGGCTAGTTGGAGAAGAACTGGAGGATTTTGTAGATTTGGGAGTAGAAAGTTGGCTGCTGGGAGTCCCGTTAACTGACCATGAGACAACAAAAGGAGATAGAGATCATCAAAACCCCAAACAACCAGATTGCATAAAAACACTAAGTACATGCACATTACAGCTCCAGTAAAGCTTCAATTCATTTAAAGCTTAAAGCAGATGATAAATCAGCAAAAAGCAAAAATAATGTATCTTATTGCATTACAGACAAAATCAGACAAGGAGTGAAACTAGAATTTTTTTTCAACAATCATTTTCCAACAGTGGCACAAATGAATATATAAGACATTATGGAATTAGAGGTGTGGATGAGAACTTGTCCACACAAACTGCCTGCCCAATTTGTAGAGAAGTGACTGGTTCTTATATTTGCAATGGTTTATGATGAAGGCTGTTCCATAACCCCCAATTTATCTACTACTGTAGTGTGTACCAACCTGAATGACCAAAAAGTTCTTATAGCTCTCCTAAATCAACTCCACCTTAATCCAAACATTTCTTTGTGCATTCAGGTTTTGGTTTTGGTGCTGAGTATTGAACCCAGGGTTTCATGCATGCTAAGCATGACCTTTTTCCTTATACTAACTACTTATTTGCTTAAAGTCAAAAAAGATATTCAACTTTCTTTTTAACTATGCTAGTTACTTCTAATTCTTCCATCTTCTTTATGAACTAACTTCTCCATTAGTAGAAAATGCTGCTAGTTTTCTATATACCCCCTCCAAACCTCCATACGTTTCTTTGGTTGAAACCTGGAATTAGCTCCTATGCTAGGAAGAGTATGGCCTCACTGTTTAGGGGGGAAATTTAACTCACAGGCCCTAATGTACAGAATTCTGGTCAAACATTTCAGTATGACTCATGTCCATTCCTAACTGTATTGCCTGGACATATTTCTATGGTGATTTCACAAAGCTGGTAGTTAGCATGTGGGATTAAAACATATTTTTCTTCTCTAAAGACAATTTGTAATGCCTCCTTATTATTAACCTTTAAAGCTTTTGACCAAAGTAGATAAAAAAATGTCTTTCATTTTTATAAAAAGTCCTTTAAAAAACATGGGGGAGCATCTAACTATTATTTTAGATGACACCCATAAGTATAGAAAGTCAAATGCAGAGATGAATGTCCTGACTAGGTGATTCAAAAAGTGAGCACCAGTTCTTGAGTGGAGGCTGAAATTCTGGATCAAGGAGTATTTATGATTAGACAAATCATCCGTAAACAGGGACGTCACATAAAGTTCATAAAATCACATTTGTTTATTGTTCTGCTCATTTAAAAATTCCGTAAACATAACTTTTTCCAGTTATTTTAAAGTTCCCAAATTTTAACTTTTCTAACTCTAAAACATTCATCCAGTTATCTAGATTTCTATACCAAATACATGTGGTACTTAAAATACCAGTATGACACATGTAACTCTACAATTAATTAGAAACACTGCAGAGTTTTCTAGTCATTTCTTAATTAAGTTAATTTCAATTAATATTCTTTCTTTTAAAATTTTTCTTTAAAAGGTAGAGTGCAAAGGATTTTTAAAAGTGGTAAAACTACTCTGTATAATAGTGTAATGGCAGATACATATCACCACAAACTTGCTCAAATCACAGAATATATATATCAAGAGTGAACCCTAATGTTACCTTGGGTAACAATGATGTGTGGACTGTAAAAAATGTACCCCACTCTCGCAGGGGATAATGACAATAGGGAGGTTCTGTTTGTTAGCAGACAGGGGATACACAGAAAAACCTGTACCTTTTGCTTGGATTTGTTGTGAATTTAAAACCTAAATAATACTCTCTTAAAAAAAATCTCTCTCAAGGAGATTCATATAAAGTAGAGATTATTATGGGCAAAAACTAATAAATATGCTGGGAGCTAAGACTGAATTTCACTTTTTTTTTTAAAACTCCATCCCACATAACCAGTTCCTAGTCAAGCAGTCTTATGAGCTTTCACTGGATGCCACACTGACAGCAAAGGCTTCCTTGAAATGGTGACAGAAAAAGCACAAAGGGAAAACGAACAGTTCTTCACATGGGGACACTGTTCTCTAAATATCTACCCTCTGCTTCAGCATGGTTTCTTTCTTATCAAAACTCACTGCCAGGGATGTACCCCATGGCAAAAACCACATGTCCATACCTTCCCCCAACGCTTCCCATCCTAAGGAGGCACTAGTCTCATGTACTCCTCTCAGTCTCAGTAGCATTTGGAAGGTTTTAAAAAAGGTTCTCTTTCTCCTAAGAAATCCTTAAATTCACTTACTTGCACACTTCTCTGGAGTTTGGGGAGGCAAAATGGGACTCTGGACAGTGCTATGGGATGCCCTCTCCACCTCATGACTGCTGCCCATGGAAAGGTGAACAGTGACCAACCAGCATCTCCACAGTGCTCCCACAGTACCCCATATTTATCCTCCTCACAACCATAAGGTAAGAGATAACTTGAGGTTTTGTTTGTTTGCTCTGAATATTGTTTATCTTGGTAAATTATGATAAAGAGTCACAAGTTAGAAAACTAAAACAAGGATTTTTAAGACTCAAATTATGGTAACTACCCATTTATGCTGCCCAAATTAGTATCTATGCTTTATGATATAACTATTTAGCTATTTTGGCAGAGTTTAGCTGAAGGATTTAGTGAAACAGAAGACTTTACTCACAGCAGCACTTCTGGCTCTGTTTGATTCCAATTCCTTCCTTGGATTTTTTGTTTTATGGTTGCTTTCTGGGGGAGAAGGTTGGCTTTATTTTATTTTATTTCCTTGAGTCAGGGCATTGCTATGCATTCCAGGCCAGTCTTAAGCTCCTAAACTCAAGTAATCCTCCTGTATCAGCTTTGAGAGTAGCTGGGACTGCAAATGTACACCATCATGCCCAGAGTTTTCAAAATAGTAACTAATAGTCTGGCCAGGCACCAGTGGCTCACGCCTGTAATCCTAGCTAATCAAGATGCAGACATCAGGAGGATCACGGTTCGAAGCCAGCCCTAGGCAAATAGTATTGCAAGACCGATCACAAAAAAGGGCTGGTGGAGTGGCTCAAGGTGTAGGTCCTGAGTTCAAACCCCAGTACCATGAGAAAAAAAAGAAAAGTAACAGTCTGCAAAAGCAAGTCATACTACTCGTGGTAGTATAGCTTCTGATAATACAAACTCTCCCTTTGTTGGTGCAGAGAATGGGGTGCGAACACTATATAAACACAGTAGCTTTCTCTAGGATCACAGTGTTGTCACAGCCCTTGCCTCTGGCTCTCAGTCTTCTTGTCAGTACTGAGCACACTTTGAATTAACCTCTTATAAAGACCCTTTCCTTTCTGAAATGTGATTTTAAGATCTCAAAACCTTTACTTAGGCATTTGAGGCCTGCTCTATTCAAATATGGATTCAGTTGAAAATTTTGCATACCAGAATGCTACAGTATTCCTTAATCAGTTGTTAAGCACTTCAAATGCAACATAAAAGGGATTATTTATGCATTTGTTGGGTTTTGTCATGGAGCTGCGAGTGTGAAGAATAAATATGGAATATTTTAATTTAGTATGCTAATTTTCCTCTTGGGCCTCGGGGGCAAATTGAATTAATCACACCTGATTCTTGAATCACTCTACTGTTATTATTTTACTGACGTGATAAGCATCTGTAAACATATGATATGCCCTAGCCATTGTATTTACTCAAATTTCATGTATTAGCTTCCCTAGTGAAGGTATTTTATAGAGAGCCAAATACAATTTAAGATAACATCAATGGCAGAGAGACATCTTTGGTTAAATACTCAGGATCATCATATATTTAGACAGCATACACACTGAGCCTATAACTTAATTGTTTGACAACTAAAAAGATTATAGCGTGCCTTCCTATACATGAAACACCCCATAATATTACTCTGGCATTGGCTATCATAAAGTACTTTAAATTCTAAGATTTTAATGAGTCCTAAAGCGCTTAACCCCAAGGTAGGAGCAGGGAGTGAGGGCAAACAACACAATTGCTTCTATGGCTATCTTTGCCTTACCAACAAATTTGAGCCCTCTCAGTAACAGAAAAGTTTCCAAAGTGCCAATGAGAACACAGACCCTCCTGAGGTGACTGTGCCTCCTTTACGTTCTGACGACACACAGAACGCCTGTGGAGATCATCCCATGACAACAAGTTATGGGGAACGGAGGAGGCTGAGCACCGTACGCATCGGACTGCACAGAAGTACACTGGAACGTGCCAGATACATTCATGGAAATGGAGCAAAAAGAAACAAAAATGCAGCAAAAGACAAAAACAAAAACCCAGCAGAGCGACAAAGCCATAACCATCATGGCTCACCTGGGGATTTGGCTGTAGAATAGGCACTGGAGTGGCCAGCCCTCTTTACTGCACACATGCAGTATACACAGAGCAGAAGGAGACAGTAAGGAAAGTGGTTATTCAGCAAGTCTAAATGTGTATACAAAGAGAAGGATCAAACAACCTACCCTAGAGAAGTGAAGTAGGTACTGAAAGGACAGCAGTGGAAGAAGGTACAAGAAAGTCTTTGTAAAGTGGGATGCTAAGATTTGTGTTGATACTACTTTGACATGTCCCAGATTTCCCACCTGTTAAGTGTTTTTTCACAATCTTTCCTTAATAGTAAATGGAATGATTGAAATTATTCTTAATTACTAAAAATAAACCCATAGAATCAAAATCTTGAGATACTTATGGATGTTTTTAATGTTAAAAATGCCAAAGCAGTCAAAATCAACAGATCTATAGGCTTTGGACCTGAAAAAAAATTTTAGGGAAGTCTGACTCTTAGGTAAGTATTACTTTCTAACAGTATTGCTCAATGAAGTAAAGGGTGGTAGAAGATTTCAAGTATGAGATTTACACCAATAAGAGCTTAATGCTAAGAAAATTAATATACACAATTATTTAGCACAAAATTCAAAATGCAGTACACCTTGGTCAAAATGTGAAACACTTCTATGCAAATATCAGGAAAAGATTAGATAATATGACTAGTCTCAAGAAAATGTGTCAGAACAAAAACCCTAAGAGTCTCTCAAGAGACAACTTTGGGACACAGATCTAACTTTTTGGTTTTAAAAAACTGTGTCATCCAGATGAGGTTCTGGAACCTGGTGGCACCCAGGCGTGGCCGAGACTACTTGTTCATACACGTTTAAGAAAACTGAAGGGCGACGACCTGCTCCTCCGTGACCATCCACTGCTTTTCTATCTGTTAACTACCTGAAGCTGGTGATTTGCTGCGGCGAGAGGGTCCAGGGCTTTTTGATCCAGAATATTTAACAGCTGAGGATCGAGAATAAGATGACTTCAGGACACGGCATTCTAGAAACGAACAAAAGTGTGTTACTGAATAAAGCAAGTTTTCATAGTGACATATCAGAGTCATAGCATAGGTCCTATACTACCTACAAGTGTTATCTGATAATCAAACCAAGGACCTTCAGGGCCTTGGACATGGTAGGCAAGTGCTCTACCATTGAGTCACACACCTCAGTCCTGCTAAGTAGAAAGCAATGGTCCCAAAAGTATACCTTATCTTTAGGTAGGCCACACATCTTGTGACATTACCTTATTGTTTCAGATGGTGTTCCTAATGAACACAGAAGCCTCAATGTCCTAAATTGACACACAGAAACACCCATAGCCTGCCTAATCCATTCACACACGAATCTCTTTCTCATCAGTAGCATTGATGTGTGAAGACTACAATTTTATTATTCTCTAACTCCTTGGTATCTGATTTTGAAAGTACATGGGATTCAAACCAGCAGATCTCTTACTGTCTTATTTTCCATATTCTCAAGATAGGAAGCCTCAAAAATGAGGAAAATAGCTTTAAGAAATAACTCTGACCTTTCCATAAATTGTCAAACAAAAATAGTGCTTAGAGTGCCAGAACTGATTGCAGCTAAAATCATCCCTTCTAATTTGAATAACTAAGAGCACAGGTTTTGGAGTCATGTAGATTTGAGATGAATCAGGGATTTGACATCTGCCACTGGGAGACCTTAGTTAGTTCTAATCCTCAGTATTTCTCCCTAAGGAATCAATGTAAGAATAAAATCTGCTTCATAGGCTTGTTATAAAGGTTAAATTAGATAACATATTGTCTATAATTTACTTCAAAATATTTCGATCTATGCAGAAAGGTTAAAATGTGAGTTAGTTTTAATCTATACCCCAGGGGCAGTAAATTAACATATGAAGTTTACTAATCAGGATGAGACAGGAGGGCTAGTTAGCATTTGAAAGACTCCAATCAAAACCTTACACAAAGGGAGCAGCAACCACTTCTGCTTAGCTAATTTGCATTGTGGGTGTTAGCATGTGTGCCACTGTTGAAAGGTGTGGTGTCTACACCCCTTACAAACATTTTAAAGACACTGCCACTGCCACTCTTATGAGCAGAACTGAGAGCCTAGAACCTGGAACTTCAGAACCATACGCTCAGTTGAGTAATCAGAGCCAGTCCAGCCTCCAGCGCTCAACAGAGGATTTGCGGAGGAAGATTAGGTTAGCTGAATGCTATGGATTTTGAATGCATCTTTAATAAAGATATGGTTAGAAGCCTAAAAGAGCAAAACTGGGACTTGAAGATTACAACACAAGTTAAATAATTAGTTTTTAAAAATCTTTGTTTCTGCCAGGCGTCAATGGCTCATGCCTGTAATCCTAGCTACTTGGAAGTCTGAGATCAGGAAGATCATGGTTTATTCCAGGCCAGCCTGGGCAAAAAAAAAAAAAAAAGTTTGTGAGACTTTAGGTGGTGTGCACCTGTCATCCCAGTGACAGTGACAATGGGAAGCACTAAAAAAAGAAAACAAAGGATCCTGGTCTAGGCAAAAAAAGAAATCCTATCTCCAAAGTGAACACAGCAAAAAGGGCTGGAGGCATGGCTCTGGCAGAAGAGGGCCTGACTATCAAGTACAAAGTTCTGAGTTCAAATCCCAGTACTGCAAAACAAACAAACTTTGTTTCCTAATAAATGTATTTGTAGTAGAATTCGGGGTCAGATTTGCTTTCATTGTCAAACTTCACACATTGTGGTGGCATAATACTATTAACAATAACAACAACAACAAAAAGTAGTAGACAGACTAGCTTTGGTGGCTCAAACCTACAATCCTAGCTACTCAGGAGGCAGAGACTGGGAAAAATCACAGTTTGAAACCCCCATCCTAATCAATGGCTGGGTATTGTGGTACATGCCTATCATCCCAGGTACTAGGAGAAGCACCAATAGGAAGACTGCAGTCCAGGTCAGCCTGGCATTAAGTGAAACACTGTCTCAGAAATAATCAAAAAAAAGGCTGCTGGAGTAGTTCAAGTGGTAGAGCACTTGCCCAGCAAGCGCAAAGCCCTGAATTCAAACTCCAATGTGTTAAAAAAAAAAAAAAAAAAAAAGCAGTAGACACATATTACTTACTCTGTGATGGGTATCCTAGGTAGGTACATGACATATATTAATTCACTAAATACTCACGAAACTATGAAATAGCCCTTATTATTCCCACTCTGCAGAAGGTTAAATGACTAGAGGGTGAGAGTGAAGAAGTCTGCAGCTCTCACGACCTTTAACAGAAGCTACACATAAAGCATCAAGTACAAAGCCTTCCATACATAAGTGCACAGCCAATGCTTCATTACTGCTGCTGTTATTATCAACTAAACTTTATAAGCTAGACTATATCATTATTTAGGGTTTCAAATTTCCAAATGACTACTACTGACATCGATGAAATATTATGACACTAATGCTAACTTAATCTCCTAAGGATGAGAAAGCACATTTGCACAGATGACACAAAAGTGAGACCGGCTAGACAGTGGAGAAAGTTCAGGACTTTTAGAAAACCTACACCCTGATTTAGAGCATCTTGCTCACTCCTTCCTTACCCATGCCCTCTGAGTCTAGAGAGCTCCATTTCAATCGCAAATCCTTCGAGGTAGAGTGGAAATTTCCTCCCTGTGAACTTGGGATACACTGAGAATTAGATATGTGTATGCATGAGTCTGTCCTGATCCTGATCCAAAGGCCATTAGAGACTGGGCATGACATGAGCTTTCTCCCCACTTCCAAGTTAAAGATGATATAAAAATGACTTAAAATTAAAATTCCCCTCTTTTGCAGGATGGAATTCCCCTTTTTCATGGAGTGGATGCAGCAGCTCTACTCCACCTGGCAGGGACCACACCTGTAATCCCCTTTCCCTTCCTACAGTAAAACTCCATTAACTTCTTACTATACCTACTGTCCTGCCTGGATGCTTCCAGGTGGGACATAAAGAATTTGGGAATATTCTGATCAAAGACTGCATGAAGCTACAATAAAAAGACATTATCTATAATGAAAGACTCGCAGTTACCAACATATAGTAAGACCACTCCAACAGAATAAGGTAGTATAGAAACAATTGGCAATGGGAAGAAACAAAACAGAAAAACAACTTAAAGAGTAGACAAACCACAAGCAAGTAACTGATACAGTGTAATAAGACAGAATTTAATATCGTATCATCTCAAACTTTATAACAGCATATGTATCACTGTATTTATTTGGTGATATGTGTTTCTAATTCTGGACTGTCACAAGCACTACAACAGGAGCTGGAATAGTCTACCTTTCATCTATATTTTCAAAAATCAACTTTTCTTTTTTATAAAAAAGCAGAACTTTATATCTAAGATCCCACTCCAGTATGAAATATGATATCTGATGATTTTACCTCATTTAAAAATGAATTTGAACACAGTGAGTTTTTTAAAGTACAAGAAAATCAGATAACTGTGAATGTAATGATTGATGAAATGTCCTAAAACTTTAAAACAAATTTTAAAAAGCCTTAACCAGCAATTTTAAAACAAAAATCTTTCAGATTACTTTTCTAGGTTTTAGTTTAAAGAAGTTGATAAAATATCTGTAATGATTTAATTGATACAGCCCCAAACAAGCTGTGCCTACATATTTATTTTTATTTTTTTATTATTGTATTATTGTTGTACTGGGGGTACACTTATCTTATGAACGGTGATAAGACAAAAACGAAGTTGACTTCATCAGCTAAAACATTTTTACTACTGCAATAGGTTTAAAGTAGACTCAATAACATTTGAAATCAATGAGATTATTGGTAATAGTTGAAAACTCCATTAAAGGTAAAATCAAGAAGTAGGGACTTTTTCCATCCCATTCAAGAAATAACTATTTTTGTCTGACTATATAGGCAATGTATTGTTATTACTTTTTTAAAAGTTACAAACAAAACAATGACATCAAAAGAAAGCTCAGATAATCACCATTAACAATTTAGTTATTATCCTCTTATATATTTGTTTGTTTTCTGTGAAAGGATCTCTCTATATTGCCCAGCCTGGCCTCAAACAATCCTCCTGCCTCAGTCTCTGAGTAGCTGGGACTACAGACAAGGGCCAACATGCCTGGCTCATCTTTCTTCAGCATAGCGAATCTCTTAACACGTCCTGAGTACAGCTAAATCCCAAGCTTTCATTGCAGTTACAAAGATGGTCAATGAATAATTGCCTTACCGCTGTGATCTAGTACAAAGTCATCTTGGGCATAACGGAATTTTTCAGGTCCACATGCAATAAAAACGTCATCATCACCAAAAAAGTCTTGTAGGCAAGTAACCTAGAGAAAAAAAATATCACATGCAAGAAATCAGAAACATTAGAAGTGAAAGAAAGTCTGCAAAATTAAATACATTTTGAAACCTCACCTATAATATTGAGAGGAAACAAAGCTGTTTAATATCATACTACATTTCCAAGCACTTCAGAACAGACTTTCACACACTTTTTTTGATTGCAGACTACCAGAAGAAAAGGTTCCTCATAGACATCACTACTCCTATGTAAAGTGAAGTCAAGATGTACATGCAAGGTTAAGTGATTATTTTCCACGATTCCCAGATGGATGGGGCGAACTGGGGTTGATGGAGGACTCTGCTGTCCACTTAAAGTTTACCTGGCCCTTCCTCCTTCTCCCAGCACCTCCATTTTCCCAGCTCTGTGAACTTGAGTATGAGTTCTCTGCTCCTCCAGTACAGTGCCTTGGGTTGCTTTGAGGAGTAATACATGAAAACTCCTTGAGACTGTGCTTGGTATCAAATGTGCTCAATGTGTTTACTCCTATCATCATCACCACCAAGGTCAGAGAAAGGATGGCCATGAAGTTATGGTCCTGAACCCAAATGTGTAGTCTTAATTCCACAGTTAGTTATCAAAAAGCTCTCCTTCCATACTGCATCAGTTTCAGACACCACACCCCCTGAATAAATCCCATGAACCTCATCCATCCATCCATTCATTCCAGTGGTGGAAGCTAGAGGCATCTTACAGGACTGTGGACACAGGCAGGCTCTATTTTCACCCAGTTTTCAAGGGGCTGTACAAGCATTCTTTTGTTTAAACAAAAAAAAGTCCTCCATTCCCAATAATAGAGTTTTACATTTTTTCTCTAGTACTTGGAAAGACTGAGCAGTCTCAGGGTTTCCTTACATCTTTCTGATCATTTTTATTGAGAAAAAAATAATAAGTCATCTCACCACTGAGTTAGAAAACAGTGCTTCAGGGAACATGGCACAAGTGGTAGAGTGCCTGCCTAGCAAGCAGAAGACCCTAAATTCAATCCCCAGTATGCAAGAAAACAAACAAACAAACAATGAATGCTTCATAGAAAAGATATAAACTAGATACAATGTAGATAACTATGGTCATAGGAAGTAATTAAGTTACACAACTGATGCACCCTTTCACAACATTGAAAGTCTGACTGCAGTCTTTATTACCATTTCCTCCCTCCATTTCTCCTGACTACATTTCTTTCCTAATAAACTTTGCTATCAGTGTATATATATAATGATAGACAATTACATATAGTAATATAATTATATATAATGACAGAAAGTTTGTTAGGAAAGAAATTTATAATATATAAATATATATTATATATGTGTGTGTGTGTGTGTTGACTGCATAGACAGTAAGTGGATCATAAAATGTTGTATGTTTCTTCCAATTCTCATTGTGCAAGACTTGACTTCTGTGCTTCACTGGAACTCAGCTCAAGCCACAGTGTCTGAGGTTTTCCAGAAGGATCGCCTTTCTCATCATTCTGGTAAACCTGCTTCTCTTCTCTGTCTCAGTTGGCATGTACTCATTCGTCCATGCTAGAATCCTACTAGTCCTTCCTACCTCTTACGGCTCTCAAGTGTCCACTGCTCACACTCACCTTGTCTCTGGCCTGGACTCTACCACTGCCCTGTCACGGGTTGTCTAACCTCCAGTCTCCCACCACTCGCTAGTTTCAACCACTGTTGTTCTCACAGGCACCAGGGCAACCACATCCAACATACAACCCCAGTAGCTTCTTCCTTGACAAAATAGTAGCCCTTCCAGCAGGAGCAAAATGGAGTTGTCCTCCATGCAACTCCTTAATCTTGGCTTTGCCATTTCTTCTATTCACTCCTCTGCAAATCAAGACAATTTGGGGATCCTTCCTGCATAGTAGATGGTAGTTTTTTAAAAAGCTTCATTGACATATAACTCAGATGATCATAGAAGTCATCCATTCAAAGGTATGCAATTCAATAGTTTTTAATATGTTCGGAGTTGTGCAACCGTTACCTTAATAGAGTCTAGAACATTTTCACCTCCCAGAAAGAAACCCCGTAACTCCCTACGGCTCATCTCCTGACACCCATAATCTACTTAATCTCTACGAATTTGCCTAGTCTAAATTGTTCAAATAAATTGAATCACACAATGTGTGGCATTTTGTGACTGCCTTCTTTCACTTAGCATGTCTTTAAGGTTCATCCACGTTGTAGCAAGTATCATTATTCTCTTACTTTCTGTAGCTTAGCAATACTCCATTGTATGGATGTACCACACTTGTTATCCAGTGATGGATATCTGGGCTGTTTCCATTCAGTGCTGGCTCCTGCCACCAAGCTGCTGTTCCTCACCCAGAATCCTACAATTTCCCTTCCTGCTTACAGTTCTCATGCATTTTGCTTTGTTTTACAGTCACTATATCTCTTGTATTCCCAACTATTTTAGTTCTTTGTATATATTTATTCAATAAATGGTCTGAACTCAGTTTTACTTCCTTGGCCAAATGTAATAATTGTCAAAGTTTAATCCAACTTTAAAGAAAAATTTTATTTCTGCAATCAATTTAACATGAAAATGATAACTGAATTTTTAGCCAGGAGAGGGAGCTCACACCTGTAATGCCAGATACTCAGGAGGTAGAGATTGGGAGGGTCTCAATTGAAGGCCAGTCTAGGCAAAAGTTAGCAAGATTCCATCTCAATCGGTAAACCAGGTGTGGCCTGTGATCCCAATCTAGCAGGAGGCCATAAGTAGGAGAATGGTGGTCTGAGGCTGGTCCAGGGCAAAACCATGAGACCCTCCCTGAAAAATAACTAAAGAGAAAAACAGGGCTGAGGCATTGCTTGAGCGCTACAGTGCCTGCCTAGCAAACTCAAGGCCCTGAATTCAAAATCTCAATACTGCTCAAACCAAATAAATAATAACTGAATTTTTCTAAAAGTACCTGAATGGATGTCTCTTTATGAAAACTTGATTAATTTAATTTTTAATTAATTATAAGAAAATATTTCATCTGGTATTAAATTAGTTGGCACTTGACTACAATAAAATACATAATTAAGTTACTTATGTAGAGTAAAAGCATTTAACAAATGTCAAAAATATATAGATAAAAAGGTGGTTTATTTTCCACAGCAGTTCTAGTTAGTGCCACCTAGTCATCTTTTAATGACTTCAACCTGTCAAAGTAAGTTTGGATTTCCAACTGGGCATGGTAGCACACATCTATAATCCTAGTACTTGGGAGGCTAAGGCAGAAGGATTAGTATGAGGTCAGACTGGGCAACACAGTGAGTTTTGTTGTTTTGTTTTGTTTTGCGATACTGGGGTTTGAACTCAAGGCTTACACCTTAAGCCACTCCACCTGCCCTTTTTTTGTGAAGGGTTTTTTCACGATAGGGTCTCGCAAACTATTTGCCTGGGCTGGCTTTGAACCACGATCCTCCTGATCTCTGCCTCCTGAGTAGCTAGGACTACAGGTATGAGCCAGCAGTGCCAGGCCATAGTAAGATTTTGTCTCAAAAAAAGAAAAAAAAAAAAAAAAAAGAGAGAGAGAAAAAAGTGCTGGAGGCATGGCTCAAGTGGTACAGCACCTGCCTAGCAAGAACAAGCCCTGAGTACAAACCCCCTGTGCTGCCAAAAAAAAAAAAAAAAGTTTGATTTCCAAACACAGTTTGCCTACGATGTTCTTTTCCCTTTGGTTAAGGTTCTAGTCATATATACATATAGTCATTTATATATATATTTAACTTTCAATTAGGTTTAACTATACCTCAATAATCTCAAGAAATTATTGTTATCAAGCAAATAAATAAAACAGCTGCAATAAGCAAAATGCACATGCTGTGTTTTAGAATGGTATACTGGGGACTGCGACATACCTCCCAAATAAGAAACTACTTCCACCTCCATTCATTCACAATGCTTTTATTATGCATTTATTTAAGTGCCAGGGACTATTCTAGGTTCTATAGTCATATCAGTCTCTCCCTTAAAAAAAAAAAAAAAGAACTGAAAAGCAAAGAGATAAAAATTTTTGCCCCCATGCATATGGGAGGAATAGGAAAAGGGAAGGAAACCTAAAACTTGAATGTGGCTGATGTGCTCACTGTAGGCAAGCAAATAAAGTAATCATAAACTGGCAGAGGCCACTACGGGAAGGTGACCGGGAAGTTGTAAAGAGGTCTGGTAGAGATGAATCAATGTGGGTTGTAATACACAAGTGCATGGAAGCAATGCTAGGAATCTCTCTGCATAGCTATTTTTATCTCAAACTAGCAAAAATGCTATGTTTTTTCTTATTCTCTCTTATGTCTTCTCTTCAACAAAATCAGAGAAGAGGTTAGAACAGGTTCTGCCTGGAAGCAAGTTGGGTGGGGGAGGGGGAGACGGGTGGTAGAGGGCAGGGGGAAGAGATGGCCCAAATAATTGTATACACATATGAATGAATATAAAAACAATAAAAATAATTCTTGCCCTCATTGAGCAAGTATGGTGAGATGCAGAATAAACAAAATGCACAGCAAGTTTATGCAATGCTGGAAGGTAGTGAGTACTATGGAAAAAGAGCTCAGAAGGGGAATGGTAAACACAGAGGATGGCTGCTGCAGTTCTAACACTGGGAGGCCACTTTGCCTCACTGCAAAGGCAACATCCTAACAAAATATAAAAGAAGTGAGGATCAGGTGTGGTGGCTCACGCCTGTAATCCCAGCTACTTAGAAGGTGGAGGCAGGAGGATTTCAAGTTCAGGGCCAGCCTGGGCAAAGACTATCTCAAGAACAAAATAAAAACAAAAGGGCTGAGGATGTGGTCCAAGTGGTAGAATGGAGCAAGTGCAAGGCCCTGGGTTCAATTCCCAGTAACACACAGACAAGGTGAGGGAACAAGCCACATGCAATATCTGTGAGAAAATCATTCCAAGTAGAAGGAACAGAATGTGCAGAAGCCCTGCTGAGAGATCAGGGTTGACATGTATGCAAGAAAAAATCCTGGGACACAGAGGGTGGAGGCA